ATAAATCTACTGTAAATGTTTGAAAATCTACCGTATTTCTGCTAAAATCAACAGTATTTTTGTTCAAACTACCGTAAAATCTCCCGTTTTTGTTTGGAAATGCTTAAAATTGAAGTCTTTCTGTACTGTCCCTGTAATAACCTTTACCAAACCGAATATAAGGTATCGGCAGGATATTGAATCGATTCAAAATTCTAAATCACATTCCCCGTCCGGGAAAGTCCATGAAGTTCGTAAACAGACCGCAGAACGTTGTAGCTACGTTCATTCAGTTCGCACACAGTTTAAAACCGATTCGGCAACGTTTTGCAGAACGCAGAGACAACTGTTTCTGGTGTGATAGCTATTTTTGTTAATTCGTTCATAAGCAGTTCATCTCGTCTTTATTCCGTCTGCAGTACGTTGGTATCAAGTTTAGATGGGGTAAAATTGTGCTTTCGTCTGGTCTACACAACGTAACCAAGCAGTTCAATTACGTCCTTAATCAGTTTAAACCAGTTGACAATTAGCTGTACATCGTTCTCAATACGTCCTAATATGTTACTGAATTATCCACCAAATTTCCATACAGTTGAACTCATTCTAAAATAGTAAACATCGTGTCCCTAATCCGTGCAGAACGCATTTATTTTTTTCGGTCGAGTTGGGTCTGTCTACGAACAGAATGAATGAGCTACAAACGGACTAGATTGGGGTACTCACGGCTGCAATTTACGCCTGACTACATAACGTCGTAATACGTCCCTAGTAGCTTTGAAGTACGACACTTCCGTTCGTAGTGTGTCCCCAGTGCGCCCAGGTCGTCTTAAGTACGTTATCACTCGTGCTGATTGCAGAACGTGACGATCACCAGAAAATTTTGAGCATGCTCTAAGTTCTGGAGGACCTACTCGTTCAAGTAGTTTCATGAAGTTTGTAACAGATCCCAAACGATTCTTAGTGGGTTCTTAGTACGTCAAATCCGTTCGTGCACAGTTTAAGCCCGTTTTCGAGAACGTAGTGAGAACTAGTTTGGTGTGATAACAGAGTTAACATACTGTTTTATTCATTAGTTTTTTAGAAATCTACCGCAAAAACTACCGCATTTTTTCAAAATCTAACGCAAAACTACTGCATTTTTTCAATTTTTTCCGCAAAACTAGTTTCTTTAAAATCTACCGCAAAAACTACCGCATTTTTTCAAAATCTACCGTAAAAGTACGCATCTTTTGCATATCTTCCGCAAAAGTACCCGTTTTTCAAAAAATTACCGTAAAAAACGGGTACTTTTGCGGAAGATATGCAAAAGATGCGTACTTTTACGGTAGATTTTGAAAAAATGCGGTAGTTTTTGCGGTAGATTTTAAAGAAACTAGTTTTGCGGAAAAAATTGAAAAAATGCAGTAGTTTTGCGTTAGATTTTGAAAAAATGCGGTAGTTTTTGCGGTAGATTTTAAAGAAACTAGTTTTGCGGAAAAAATTGAAAAAATGCAGTAGTTTTGCGTTAGATTGTAAAAACTACAGCATTTTTCGAAATCTACCGTAAAACTACAGCTTTTTTTCAAAATCTTCCACAAAACTACCGGTTTTTAAAAAACCACCGTAAAAACTACCGCATTTTTTCAAAATCTACCGTAAAACTACCGCATTTTTTCAGAATCTTCCGCAAAACTACCGATTTTTCAAAAAACTACCGTAAAAACTACCGTATTTTTAAAAATCTACCATAAAACTACCGCATTTTTTCTAAATCCTCTGTAAAACTACCGCTTTTTAAAAATTTCTACCGCAAAATTACACTTTTTCCAAAAATCTACCCCAAATCTCTGAAACTACAGTATTTTTTAAAATCTACAGCAAAAACTACAGTTTTTTAAAAAATTTCCTGCAAAAAAACTACCGTATTTTCTAAATCTACCGCAAAAACTACCGTTGTTTTTACAAATCTACCGCAAAAACTACCGGATTTTTGTTGAAAAATACCGTAAAATCTACCGCATTTTGAAAAAATCTACCGCAAAAATACAGCAATTTTAAAAAAATCTACCGCAAAATTTTGGTCTTAGGTTGGCAGGTATGCGTACCAGGACTATAGACAGTTGTGGTACGGGATAGGGGCCATCATCATTTATGTTTTCCAAAGGTTGTCTTATAACTGCTATGGGCGTAGCGCTATTTTTCTAAGTTGTACGCCACCACCACAGGGACAACAGTTGAGTGGATCAAAAAACGAGCACTCAGATATTTGGTTGTATTTGGAGCGAATTTGCAATCATCTGGTACAGTTGGGGACAAAAATAAATGACAGGTCGATTTTCGATCACCATTTCCTAATTATGGTGGTCTGAAAGCCCATAATTTCCAATATTGTCTAGATATATATCCCTTAAAATTTGTATATTTTACATTTTGTATAATCTCATCCACTGATGTATGGCCTCTTGTAAATTCTCTTATTTTTAACATGGGAAATCCTCACTTCATCAAATCCACCTGTCATTTATTTATGTCCCCAACTGTACGCCTGTGCGTACCCAGCGTACAGGGCGCTATGCCCATGACTGCTAATGTGCCATAAAGGAGTCGCTCACTTAACCTACTCAGAGGTGGCGTTAACGCAATTTTTTACGTTTTTTACTCACATTTTTGCAACTCTGACGCAAATATTCATTGTCTACCGAGTCTTTCTGACGCACGTTTGTTTCACATGCAAAATCCCCGCTTGGTACTTGGTTAAATTGATCCCTATACGTGAAAATACGTGATTGATCAAATTTATAATTTTGCTAATTCCGGAAATCTAACATTTCGTTCAGCGCAATCGAGCCTCCTTCCTACCGATCATTTTCTTATTTCGGTATTTCATATAATTTTTAAAGCCCTGTGATTCAGATTCAATGATAAACTTGAAAACATTGATGGATCCCTCGATTTGTTTATCTCGTGTGCTAGGGGGCGTATCAAAAATGCAATAAAACGAACATAACATTGAACAATAATTTATTAATTTCATACTCCCTTCTAAGGATTTTAGTGATCGTATATTTATCTAAATTACCGCATAAAATCTTTCCTTGAATGTTCACACGCTAGATTTACGAACCTTTAGTTTCCTTCGCAAGTTCGCAAAATTCCTTCGCTAAGTTAGCAAGTTTCCTTGAGCCGTCCCCTTCATCAGCATGCGCAGATGTAATGCGCAGTAGGTTTATCAATGGTGCTCACAGTGACCGATCTATCGTAAGTTTTCACCAAGTATTTTCAATTAACTCCCTCAAGTTAAGATCTTCGATTCACTAGATCTGAAGCTGATCCTATGAAGATAGATAATGGGCACATGAAAATCCAGTCGATCGCACATTAAGGGGGGTAATGATGATAAATTAGGTATGAAAACAAATCTACTTTCGGTTTCATTTTATAATTACAAGATTCTACCGTATTCAATTTAAATGATGCCCAGTATTGTGGTCGGACTTATATTGCCGTTTTAGACTTTGGAATGATTGCAAAAATGTTGAATTTCAACATGAAACGCTTTGACCCCAATTTGTGTAACTCCACACAGGGAGAAACTCCTCTCCCACTCCATTCACACCCATGACTCGCTGGACCAGAAATTCAGATGATTAATAGTGACATTTTTCTTGCAATTGCCTAATTAATTAATTGTTAGTTGTTAATGTGCTATAAGAGTACAATAAAAGGTATGCACAAAATCAAAAAATAGATTTTGTATGTGGTTTCTACATTTTGTATGCATTTTTACTCAAGAAAAACACTTTTATAGCTTTGACTCAACTTTTTTTCTTGTGACTCACTTTTTTGAAACTACCTGAGTCATGATGACTCACAAAAATATATGCCTACCGCCACCGCTGCTACTACTAGACAACCTAAGCAAACAGGTAGAAAATAATTAACTTCCTGAAGGCAAACCCACCCTATCATACTGCTATGTATGCATTACTTACCCGGTGTGGACAATCCGCCTCTCCAAAATTATCCCCAGGTTGAGTGAATACTTATCTAATTAGCGTTTCTGGACCACGCTATTATTGTTGATATTAGTACTCCAAATGATTAGCCATGTGTTGCCACAAGATTAGCCATGTGTTGCCACAAGATTAACCATGTGTGCCACACGATTAGCCATGTATGTACTCGCCTAAGTTCACTATCTATTCCCACCTGAATGCCTGTAAGTTCCATAACCCTTTTTTTGTGAAAGGCAACTCACGCCGCAGCACGCAGGCGCACATCCTCTGTGCGATGCAAAGTGCCGTCACAAAACAGTATACTATGTATGCTAACTCATTTTTGTATTTAGGAATGTTCATTTATTCTGACTCTACAACTCTGGAGACACTCATTGTTGGATATTGAGGATAGGGGTACCTTTTCCCCGATCCTCAATGAATGTCCGAAAATGTACAGTGTTTCCATATGTATATTTCTTAGAATCTCCCTTAGAATCCGCCGTGGACCCAGAAGATAGGGGGTATCTCCGCCCTCCTGACCCCATTCTTAACATGTGCAACATGCAATTAATCCAAAGAATAAAAGATTTCTTTCCTTTGCAATATCCGGTTAACTCAAGGTTTATGCGTTAAAAGTGTTCACCTCACGTATTTCTTAAACGCCGAAAAAGACTTCCACCTGCCCATTTTCATAATTTGTATATCCGTCAAGCCCAATTGGCTGTAAAATGTGCCCCCCCCCCAATTCTAAAGCTGTTGGAAGAAATTACGTTGTGTTGTATTCCAGCAAGAGAAAGAGTTTCTCGAAGAACTGACCTAAACATTTGATTTGATATTGGATCCCCTCTGTAAATAAATAAAGGTTCATCCAAGATGGGGCCAACATTTATTTCAACTTTGAGTATGAACTTGCCACAGGTACATATCTAGTTCAACGAGTTAAACGCAATACCACAGCTTTCATTTGTTAATCTGAATGTTCTTGTTGCCGTGATTGGGCGGGCCACAAGATATGTCAGAGATAAGAAATAGAGTATATGTTCATCCCTGTCCATCTTCATTGTCAGTGGTTGTGTCTGTCTCACTTTATCCATCCGTGTCATCATACGTGCCGTCATCTGTGTCATCATCTTTGTCAGTGTCAGTTGTCGTGTCTGTCTCTCTCTGTCCATCATTGACATCTCCACTGTCACTGTCTGATTGCGAATCTGCATCTTTTTGTCTCTCAAGCTATTCTTCAGTGTCTGTTGTAGTGTTGATGTCACTCTCTGTGTCATCTTCGTCCTCAGTCTCATTGTTGTTTGTTTGACCATCCATTTCATCTTCATTGTCTGTGCCAGAACTGTCCTTGTCACTCTGCCCATCCATCACATCTTCATTGTCGGTGTCATTTGTTGTATCTGTGTTGCTCTGTCCATTTGTTTCATATTGATTGTCAGTCTCTGTTTTCGAGTTGGTGTCTCTATGTCCTTGCAAGTCTTCTCCAATGTCAGTGTCACTCCTTGTGTCTGCGTTGTCAGTGTTTGTGGCCATATCTGTATCGCTATTATCATCCAATACTGAAACCAAACCAACCATAACAATTGTAACATTTAAAGCACTTGATTGATATGTCACCAGCATTTGCTGATACCAATTCAAAACATTTTGCCAAAGTTATCCATTTTTCATGTTGAAATATTTTCAAAATATTCTCAACCTTCCAAATAAGCAATACTGAATGTCTATATATGTTGAAAATGAATATTAACATATTGCCCCAACATTGTATTTAATGAGAACTGAAATTTCTTTTCCCTGAATCACTCTCTCATTGCTTAACAATGTATATGACAGCGAAACCTAATTTATAAAAATTTCAGATACCACATATTGATGACACTCAGTATGACAATAATAAAAAGTGATATGTTGGGGTTTGAGAAATGTTATAATTTATTCGGTGTACTGGTAGTATATGTGAGCTGGGCGAATGGGGGGCACGTGGGCAACGGCAATAAAAACTACACTACACACAAGTTCAGTCATATGATATCTTTATTCTTTGACAGTCTTAGTTGTAACATCGAGTATCATAGGATGTAAACAGGCAACAAGAAGAAGAAGTCTGCAATGATACAAAATAATGTTCATTTATATTTCGTAATGTCGAGACTATAAAATACAAGAAAGATGTACGAATATTATTGCATTTTATATTTTTATCCCTTAGACTAAACCAAACACAGTTTCATGTACTTTACACAAATAATACAATAATATATTTTAAGAGATATGCATACCCTAATGACTAGTCTAATGGAGACTATAACTATGGAGACTAGTGGAACCTCAATGTCAGAAAACATCCAATCTCCAGTACTAAAATTAGAAGTAACAAAAGTGCAGCAATGTATCATGTTGTCAAATGAACAAACATGAAACAATTAATAATATTCACCAATACAACATAATTATTAGAACCATTAAAGTGTGACATAACATTACGTGTATTCGAGCTCTGGTGAAAATATTATAAAATTATTTTACAAAATGGCTGCACCTTAAAATACAAAATGGCTGACACAAAAATGATATAAACTTACAAATAGTCCTTAGGACTTTTGGAATATAGTTAGACCCTGACTGAGAGTACATATGTGTACTTAAACCATGTGTCTGCAATTAACAGGACATAATTATAAAATGTGTACATTATTTCCAGTTGTAAAAGTAAGCCATATAAGCATTGCAAAATTGGGCGTGACCCGTATTCTAATTTACAAAACTGGTTTACAAAAAGTTGTAGTCTAGGGATATGAAATATTACCTTACCAGAAAATATGATATAAAAAGAAATTGACATTCTTCTATAATGATAGTATAGGATAAACTGGTAAAAAGTACAACTTGACTGAATAAATTGGGAAAAATGCAAAATTGTATTTACCTATACACAGAGGTGTTTCCAGTTGAAGCTCAGCCAGTGGACTGAGGTCAGTTTGAAAAATAGAAACCACTGCTAATGCAGGGTTATAAAACCAGCCACAAACTTACAAAATATAAGAATCAAAAATAAGGTTTACAGGGTGGTCCAAAAAAAAGTGAACCCCTGCAACTGGCCATATTTTCCTTTTTACTTGCAGGAATTCTTTTTTATTTTCACATGTTGTAGAGGAAGGTCTAAAATTTATGTTGGTACCATACATTTTTCTTAGTCTTGAAATTTGCAGAAATTATAAGCTCTAACCAAACATTACTGAAAATGGACAAATTGTGATTTTCAATATCCGCGATTCTTCAACCCTTTAACACCTTTCCCCTGAGAAATCTTTAAGCTGCAGTCTTAAAGAACTAATATTTTCTGACTTTGTTCAATTTCAAATCCTGCACATTATGGCTTAAAACTAGCATTCTACATTTGTTAGTTGCAAAGTTATTGTGATCCAAAGAGATGTGCTAAGCTTCCACAGACGAAAACATTTTCCAGTGAAATCATGAACATACCCCTATATGATCTTGAAATGTCAATATCTTCATAAATCATGGACCAATTCTAATGATATATGGCTCAAAACATTGAATATTGAATTTTCTTTTGATTTTTTAAAGATATTTGATGAAGGAGTTATCAGATTCCTGGTCACAGGGGGCAACTTCCTTCCATAAGAGGCCCCCCTCTAACTGTTGGTGTAGGTAACATACCCCTGAACTGTTGAACAGTTTAAAATGCTTCAAAATGATCAATGAAAGTGTGAAATGTGTTTTCTGCTTGAATAGTGTCCCTTTTGTCATATGGTAGGGTTTTTAACTTGTATCTCTAACTGAAAGCTGTTTAAAATCATCCAATGTGTTTCAACAATTTCCGTGAATCACATTTGTAAAATTTTGTACAATATCTAATTTCCAGGCATGTTTGTTAAACGCTTGTAATTTCTTCAAAATTTAAGACTGAGAATAAATTATGGCATCAACCAAAATTTTAGACCTTTCTCTACAACATGTGATAATATGAGCCAATTCATGCATGTATTAAGAAAAATATAGCCTGTTGCAGGGGTTCACTTTTTTTGGACCACCCTGTACATGTTATTATCCTATACTGAATGGAAAATCTAACCCAGTAAGTGGGGTTCTAAAAATAGCATGGTTCACTTAAATGCATATGTGTAAAAATACAGGCTGTCTCATGAACCATGTAACTATCCTTGTCCATACAGGGTGTTACACCTAACCTGTCACATATATTATCAATTTCACTGTTATCAATGATCAATCAATCAAAAATGTCGTTCCAAATACCTTGTCTTATGAACATTTGGTCCTGTTCGGGAAATAATCTTAAGTTTCACAAACAGTGCTGATGTTGAAGTGCTCTTGTTCATGAAGTGAGCTGATTTATGTGAGATGAATTCTGTGGATTCCACATTTGTCTTGAGTTCTTTTCTCATGGTCGACTCTGATGGTGTGGGTATTCCCATTTCCTTCAACTCTGACAGTATTGGTTTCACTCTTGCAGTCACTCACTCTGCTCTTCTGCCATCGCTAAATGTAGCTTTAACCAAGCCAACATTCTTTCGCACCTGTAGACAATAATTATTTATAGCTTTAAATAAAAACAAATAAGATCAGCACTTAATGTTTGACATAATTATTTTATTCCAGCCAAGAAGCATCCCTAATTTATCTTGAACAAAACAGGCATACATTTTAACTGACCACATAAGCACTGATTGGCTGAAGTGTGACACTTTTACCGATAGCTGTTGTCTATTTTATTGTGGGCCTTTAAGCAAAATACCAAGTCATTATATTTCATTGCAGTAAAAAGTTCAACCCCATATTTTAATATTTAATTCTTACAACTGCTCTCCGAGTTCTCGATGAACTGTAAAAACGCAGCACATGCCGGGCCCTTCCTCTCTCTCCCCATTTGTCATTTGGAACTCCCGTTCATATCCTGACTATCTCTTTAATAAAGAAGTTCCATAGTTCTTCCTGTGATACATTTATCTTCAGAAACTTCTCTACCACCTGTAATATAAAGGTTTCATTTAAACAGTCAAAAAATTAAATGCCTTTAAATCCCACTTGGGTAGCAACACAATAGAATTTGCTGTGGTTTATTTTTAAGAATGTATGGTTTTATCAAAAGGAAAGTGCGTTATTTTTCTATTGTTTTTAAAGAATGTACACTTGGCAAGCTATCAAAAACAAGTGAGACATAAATGACCATTGACAGTTTTTGATAGTTTTCATTCCCTAAAAAACAATATACTAAAATACATGTACCCTTCTCTTGTTACTGTGCATTCTTTAGAATAAAGCAATTTATCAATTTTTGTTGCTATCTACATCATTGATCTTATCTTACTTACAAATATTCTGCTGTATTCAAATTCAATGTTCTGGACTGGACAGTCACTGAAGCTAGACTAATTATAGCCCACTCAGTCACTTACATCAACTCACACTCATGAGGTCAATCCAACCAACTCTTTTTGTTGTTACAATTAATGGCTATATAACAACAAATTTTAACTAATAAGAGCCAGGGTCATTGTGAGCCTGGTTGAAGTTTGCAAAATTCACAGTTTGAATAGTCAATACAAAAGAAATCACATTTTTTCCGGATTAAAGACCTTTTAACTGTAATATAATAGACAATTTATAAGAATGTGTGTGATTTAAGTAAGATAAAGCATTCAAATTTGATTTGATAAGAAATAATTACCTTCGGCCTTCAGTGTATTATTTCTTATAAAATCTCATTCTTATGCTTTATCCAGTACATAACACTCGTTGTTGTCACTTCCAATTGGTAACAAAGAAACAATATTTTAAGCATGGATACTTTATGTCACATAAATCTACAAATTAATGAATGTTATGTTAATTGTTAAAATTGAATACCAATTCTGTCGTTGCCAGAAACAGGCTGTAAGTGTTTGACAGCCATCCAGCATAGCGTTCTGTCAGCTGGTTGCTGATCTTCTCAGATAATGTATTCTTGGTGTTGCTCTCTCGAGATATTTCCTGAGGTTCACAAACTGGCCTTTACTCGATGCTTTCGACATCAGGTCATTTGACTCAACTATCTGTGCCTGCGTCACATTTATACTTCCTTCTAGTAGTGGTATAACTTCTAACTGTGAAGCTTCTCTCAACCTACAATAGTTTACCCACAATTATTACACAAAATAAAACAGATTTTTAAAAAGTATTCTGCTTCATTCATTCTTCAGTAATAAAACTATTCTTTGGATTCAGCTTATTTTGATCAACCAAACGCAGTCTTTTCAAACCTTGGAACAAGCTACCTTTCTTTTAAAGCCTACCCTCTCATCCTCTTTGACCCCCCCAAAAAAATTTGAAAAAATCACATTTTTTTTATTGACTTACATTTTGAAAGTGCAAAGCACCAAATAGCATCTCAAAAGTGTAATATTTTCTACGGGGAATTGGCCACTCCTCACACCACATACAAAACAACTGGAAAGTTTGGAAGTTGCATTTGTTAAATTAAACACTTAAAAAAGTGCTCAGAAATCACCAAGTGACATAATGAAATTATAAAAATTTTAGATACTTGTTCTTGATTTTCTTGCACTTGCGAAGGCATGCTGCATAGTCTCCTTGACTTCTTCTTCAAGCTGTCGCTTCTGACCTATAATTACCAGATCTCATTTAGTTTAATGAAATTCTCCGAGACATGCCTTTTGACTCTTTGACCCACTAATTCGATTGCCTTACATTTGTGTACAGGAGATTCCCACCACCTAGGTAAATGATCAGAAATCCTATTATAAACCCTTTCAATGTGTACTGCTCTAATTTGAAAGTTGTTGCATGCAGCTTGAAAACTGATCTGTCTGAGCATAATGGAATCCCTAGATTTCCCTGTATTTAAAACATCTACAGACGCTTGATTATCACAAAATACTTGTATTCTACTTCTATTCCACTGAACCCCCCATGCATTTATATGCCACTGTCTGTCACTTTGCAAGTATTCTGGTATGTTGTAAAATATTCCTGAGAGGTATACCCTCCCATGCCTACAAGACAACTATCAGTAGAGACTACTTGATCCGGCTTTTTCCAATTTTTTTCTAATTCAGGAATGATAGTTACGCCAATAGTTACGCCATTGTATTGAATCATGGAAGTTTTCCATCATTTTAAGTCTTTTGAATTACGTGGTAAGCCTGAATTTGTGATTACATTCATAGCTTTCTAAGTTGTTCTTGGAGTCTATTGATAAAGACTCGACTACCCATATGCTTCCATTTGTTTTTTATCTAGAATTATACAACATTGCACTTTATCTATTAATTTCAAGTATAAATATATGACAAATGGGAATAGATGTATTGTATTGCCGTTAAAACGAGGAACTCAATGCAAATTAACGGTTTGGCTGGCCATATTGGTCTCGACACGCCCCGGAGAAGTTGGATGCCCTTGTATACTTCATTTATGCCATACGTCAGGAGAAAAACTGAAACGATTTTCGTCTTTGGATATCAGTGCAAAACACTGATTTAAATGCTCTGGAAGACTATTGTAATTCATATAAATGATGTCCTAATGAAGCAACTAAGACCAGTGAGTAAAATGTTGGGATCAATCTTAACATGTTAACCAATGTTAACATGACTAGGATATATGAAAAGATACACATGGTATGGAATGAATTGAGAGTAAAAGTGTATGTAAAAATCCGACATTATTACTTTAATGTTATTCTTACTTGCATCTAGTCTATTTGATATTCAAATCAATGAAGAACCTTTAATTTTATCCCACTTACGGCATCGGGAGCCCTATGTACAATACACTCCTTCATAAAATGCTCGCTTATTGTCTCAAACAGCTTCGTCTTTGCAGCAGCTCCCTCACTGGTTCCAGTGAACGACCCCTGGAAGGAAGCGAGATTACCTTCTACCTCTTCTATCATTATAAGTTTCTCCCTCTCTGACCAATTACTTTCTCGCTGTTTACACTGGTTTAGGCATGCTACAGAAAGAAATGCACATGTAGTCACATTACTGGAGTTTATGAAGAAATAGGATAATATGCCCTAAGCTTAGTCAGTTGTTGAATCTAACACTGCAATAGATCAGTTTGGCACTGTGGTTTATTATACAAATAGTGACTGCCAAGGGAACATGTCAGTGGACAGGATATTCCCAAGGGGAAAATTGTTTGCCCTATTGCCCGAAAATTTGGCAGTCACTATTTGTTTTATTACATATCTCATATGCATTCCAAATAAAAAATATTAAGACATTTCTTGTTTCCGGCAGGCCCTCCAAAATTTCTCCAATATAGATCCTATCATTTCTGGATTGTCTGAGTCAGCATCGCAGTTAGTTTCTCCACAGTACTCTTCAAAGAGTTTCCTGAAGATTTGATAATGTTGATAATGTAGCCAAAGAATCGGCTTGGTCCATCAATTCATCCAAATCATTGTCATTAATCGTTTCGAAACGACCAGCCATATTGTCGTCTGAACTGAACTTTGAATGCGCACTAATGATGCGCAGTCGTTTTCCTGGGATTTCAATGACGTCATCGGTCATTAGTAGCTTTTATCTTCCCCGTAATCTGCGAAAGCGGGGGTTTAGTACTTTCCAGGGAATTAGTCTATCTATTTCATATCGTGTGACCATGAATTGACCAATAAGCGTATAGAATACATATGAGGTATGTAATAATACCCTATAATAACCCTAAGATCAGTAAAGTTGAATAGTAATTTACAGAATAGGTTGTTAACATTTAACAATCTAGAATACGTTTTAAAGAAGGAAGTATAAATAGAATCGATACTCACATGGAAATGTACTGAAATATGAATTCAAACCGTCAATGATCAGATGAATTTTTTAATTCCAAAATGGTGCGCTTTAATCGTAAAAGAGTCACATGAGCATCATGTGATTAAACGTTTCTACTTACGACCGGTTGTAAGTATGGCTATTTACGACGAAGATACGACAGCTTCCAAAAACATCGTAAGTTACAACGGTCATAAGTTACAATTGTATCAAGAACGGCCCCCTGGGTACACATTTTGAAATATAAATCAATTTCCATAAAGCTGCTCAAGTTCTTTCCTTGAAGCAGATTTTTACTAACCAAAGCTTCCCGAATGGAAAACATCTCAGCAAGTCTATCTTGAGTTACAGACATGGTCATATTGCTTGTACTGTACAAAATTCCTATGAAGGGCATAGAAAGGCTGCGTGGTACAAACTTTTCTTCTGATTCTTGTAAACCTAATCTTTTCAGAACTCATGACTTTATTGATCTGTAAAAATAAAAGGTTTGGTCACCCAGAGATTTGCTTTCATTACTCACATGAAACAGAATTTGAAAAATACATGACATCTCAAATTATTACTTTCGATACAAGAGAAACTTCAAAAGTTTAATATACATTTCTGAAGCAAATTAGAATATCTTTATACATTCTTAAATAACTTAAGTATTCAATGAAGTAAGTAAATAACAATTCAATAACATATCAATTCCGATACAAGGGAAAGAGCAAAAATTTCAAATTACTTTACCTGTAAAAATAAAATGTTTAGTCACCGAGAGATTTGCTTCAGTACTGATGTAAGAGAGAAAAGCCCGCAAAAAGAAAGAAATATTTGGCGCAAAGTAATTTGATTGGTTGTAAGCAAATTAAGCTATTTTAATCCAAGATAAAAATAGCCTGCTTTAGCTATTTCGAGTTCTGATATGTTCCCTTGCCCCGGTATCCCCTGGGGCTGGGATCGTACCTCGCACCCCCTTCTAGTTGCTGCCTCCGAAGCTGATTGACATATGCTACATAGTGCCTGTGAGGTTAAGTTCTGCCCTAGTCCTAGTTATTACCCACATTACCTCCCATATTGTGTTGTGAATTCCCATTTCACCCAGGTAGTCCCTGGGGTTGGTACTGAAAATACTGTTGTTGCATGTTCCAAGGCCAGGGATTGGCCCACCCAGCGTTCCATCCTGGCATCCCCTGAGATGAAGTTGCTGGTTGCAAATATCCCCCTTCCCACCAATTCTTTGTTTGGGGAATCACTGGTTGTTACCATTCATGCTTCCTTTGACCCTCTTCAATGTCCAAGTCTATTGGACCCATCTCTGCGTTACTTTCTACCTCTGACCTATATCCTCTTGAAATCATTGCTAGAGCTATCACCATGTATTGAGTTATCCATATACTTAACCTCTATAACTATGTTTTATGCCATTTACCTATTCAAATATACGCGCTATATCAACAAAATATTTTACTTCCTTGTATCACTATGCATTGCACATCCTATCCCTAGGAAGAGGCCATCCTTTATACTCTCCCTAAGAATTTCATGAACAAATGTTTGGAATGCACCCTATCCAATAGCTTAGTTTGTATATCTTTCTCAACCCCCTTGTTCTAAAGAATATGATTCTTTGGTCTCCCTTTGATGCTTTTTCCTGCAATAAAGCATTGACCCTATCTGTGACCAAATTGTGCCTTCTGGCATGCTCTGGGCTTTTTATTCCTTTCAAATATTTCTGTTATGATGCCCTATGTATTAACTTGCCAATCAGAACCCTCCCCCTGTGATTTAGATGTTTCTTGTATTTCTTGCCTAATTCCCAAAGCTTTTCCACTATGTCCTGGCTAATGACCTCTAAGTCCCTCTTTTTCTTTGTAATGTCTCCCTACAATTAAAGTAAAAAAAACTTTTAGATTGAATAGAAATGTTGTTGTATAAACGTTTCCATTTCCAGTGGATTTGAGGGCTGTATGCCCTGGCAGTTTGGCTAATTTCTTTGAAAAGGAAACCTCATTGACTGAAAAATAAAAAGCCAATGATTGCCATAAATGCAAATCTATGTTGTATAAAGGCCCTAATCACATGATAGGACGTGGTAAATAAATAACAAGTGAACAATGAATCATATACACCTGACTGATAAAACTAAACAGAGACCATGTACATAAAATAAATTAGTACAAGATTCCCTGTGATAAATCAATATTACACTGAACAATATTTTATCGGCAGAAACTTGTCTGTCCAAATGTGAAGGTGGCTTCAGTGATTCCAAAAAGTGTGACGTGCATAACAATGATATTTGTAGACAAAGTCTCCTGGAAAAATATTCTGTGCCTCATCCTGAGGAAGATTTATTTAGCTTCTGATCTACTATACAAAAGAATTTTGCCAGCATCTCTGTATAAGATCCATATATGATGCCAGATCTCCAGCTTTCCAGGTGTGTTTTTGAGTGTAGATTTTTATAAATATCAAGAAAGCCCTCTGCTTCTCGGAATAGACAAGATATTTTTCACTTTATTATTTGACAAATATATCTGCCTACCATTTTTAACCAACTCTTCTGTTACATTGGAAGACATTTCTTCGTCACTGTCGTCTTCAAACAATTTTGTGATTTCGATAAACTCATTGTTCCAAATCTTGTTTTTTATGTTGATTGAGATAGTATCCAACATTGACGATGACGTGTCCACCATTGGCATCTAAGGAATGATATAACCTCATGGTTATTGCCCTGATGGCTGATACGGGCCCCGATGGGCCCTGCTCATAAGGTGTTGCCACAACCTGATTAAGTTCTATAGCCCCCCCCCCCCCATGAAGTGTCCATGGGACATATATGGATGCATTCTTGTAAATGGCTCCATTGGTTGGTTGAATGGCTGTTGCCGAGTTAACATTTGACTCCCCATTTCCCACCAGTATGGGGCTTGTATGGGTGGGTGCATTTGGCCTGGCCAGTTATACAACCCTTGCTGAAGTGGACCTCCCCTTTGCATGTCCGCGTTATTATTAGGGTTTGGTGCTCCCAATGTATGTTGTTGAAGTATATAACTCGGATATGGTGTATACCCATATGTCTGCGTCAGCCTCTGATTCCAAGTAGGTCCCGAACCTGTCGCTTGGGCCCCACCAGGTGTCATCGTACATGTAGGTATTAAAGTTGAACCCTCAATACTCTAACTCTCAAAGGGCTATAGTCTTTCAGTAACATGTCAAGACCATGGGGAGTAAGTCATCCCCTCACTAATATTCCCTATATTACTTCTTTTTTTTAATTTTTACTAACTCCCCATGGTCAGGGCCCAACGCCTGTGTTTGCGCAAAGCCCACTCTCTTGTCACACCGGAATAGCCTGACAACAGTAAAGTCAGATACCATTGTCACAAATGGTGGATGTAACCTAGCTTCAACTCTTTAATCACTTGGTCTTCGTTCCATGGGACTTTATCGTCGCTAATTCTGTGCATGTGTTAAGCTCGTGTGATGATGTATTATATTAAATCTCAATTTCTATCAAATGGGGTCGTGAATCACCACAATATAGCACCTTCGATATCGTCAATGACAACAGAATCTGAATTTGAAAATTTTGGTGACGAAATGGTGCCGGAACAGTGCCAAATTTTTTCGATGCCAAATCTGCACCAAATTATATTTGCTGTGTACCTCACATTGATTATTGAGTATATCCTCTGGTTTTGTGCTATATTTGATCAAAAACATTTTGGAAGTCAAATTCATTTATAGACAATCTCGAAGGCTTAGTATTGGTTCTGATTTTTTATTGACTGCGAATAATTGGACATTGTAGGTACCATTGTGATACATCATGGGCATAGATACCTCCCCTTCACAAAACATTTACAATAAAGATTTTACAGGCAACTTTTAGCTCATTAGCATCATGTCAGTTGTTGCATCTGACTGGGATACTAGATGGGGATACCATCATCTTTTGATTAAGTAACCTCTGAGCTTCGACTAAACCAGAACTTTGACTAAACCAGTGTCTGACTCAGCTGTTTCATGTGTTTGCAGATTTTTTACTTATTAACTCCTATTATGGAGAAATATAGTGGACAGTAAATGTGGTGTACCATTCTTTGTTGAGACTTGTCCCTGCATGAGGCAAAGAAACTTGACCAACCTATAAGCTCTTCTCCAAGAACATTTTCTTCCCAGGCATACATTTTTTTGGGAATATAGGTCTCAGATAGTTTTCTGGGAAGTAAATAGGAATGCAGGTTGTGCCATCTCACTCAGATTCTACTAGTGAAATTGGCTTGAGGTTTTTAACTATATACCTTTTATTTTATTTATTTATATGGAAAATAAAAAATATACCTTGTCTGTGGCTCGCTTGCGCGGCTTGTGAACTTATAAATAATAGTACCCAGGTATTACTTTATATGGACAAAACTTGTAATTTATAAATTAATCAAGCAAAGAAGTCTATGAAACTGACCTCCCATCTAATTTTTCACTTTTATTCTCCTGTACCTTGATGAATCTAAACAGTCCTCTCACAATAAACATGCTGCATTTTCCCCATTATGACATCTCCTCGACACTTGTACTGTATAGTCTTCCACGCTACTGGCTCACCCCAACACCAACATGTATGTGGCCTCATACAACCCTACTTGTCTGCCCCAGACCAACATGCATACAGCATGTGATCATCATGCATGAACTATCTAAATCTGTTTTCCCCAAATTTATCAAGAGAAAAACCCTATGAACCCCAATTGAAACTGATCTCCGATCTAATTTTTTGACTTTAATTCTCCCATGCCCTGATGAAAAAGGCCAAAGGTCCTTAATATTATACTAAGGGTACTATTTGTTTTTTGACATATACCCTATTTGAGCAGCTCACATCATTGACTTTGCTTTTTACCAAAGTAGCTACTGGTAAAATATGTACAATAACTGATATATGCCCAACGCTTTGAAGGCACTGTCTGATCATTTAGTTTACAATGTCTTATTGACTATTGAAATCTATATAGCACTTATATGCATCAGACTTTCATCTACCCAAATGCCTTATTTGACTAAGGGTACTATTTGTTTTTTGACATATACCCTATTTGAGCAGCTCACATCACCTACTTTGCTTTTTACCAAAGTAGCTACTGGTAAAATGTGTACAATAACTGACAATGCCCAACGCTTTGAAGGCACTGTCTGATCATTTAGTTTACAATGTCTTATTGACTATTCAAATCTATATAGCACTTATATGCATCAGACTTCCATCTTCCCAAATGCCTTATTTGACTATGGGTGCTATTTGTTTTTTGACATATACCCTATTTGAGCAGCTCACATCACCTACTTGGCTTTTTACCAAAGTAGCTACTGGTAAAATGTGTACAATAACTGACAATGCCCAACGCTTTGAAGGCACTGTCTGATCATTTAGTTTACAATGTCTTATTGACTATTCAAATCTATATAGCAAATCATATATGCATCGTACTTCCATCTTCCCAAATGCCTTATTTGAGCATCAGTTAGACCAAGAGCAGCTGTGTAAGATGCTCCTCCTTTTCTAAACGAATTTCCTTTATACATTTCATCATCAAGACCACACATTTTAACAGTTTTTAAGTGTCATAGAGAACTCCTTTCTTGTTACTGTGGTCCCAATCTCCTTTATAAAGACATCCTCATTTGCGCCTTGTGGCCGCACCAATAGATAATTTTTTAGTGCATATACTGGGCACACTTGTCCATATGTTAGATGTTGATACAAAGTTACTTTTTTGTCTCACCTGGTTTGGAATGTTTAAATGAGTCTAATTTCAGCACTATTGATTGTCCTTCAAACAATATATTTCTTGCTTTAATTGTATGACCAGTGTTACTCTGCACCATTTCTCCAACTCTTAACATAGCGAACACGGCAGTTGTGAACTATGTATACTTTTCTATCATATGCTGGCAATGATTTTTGGCATGCTTCCACTAGTAGTGACATTTTTTTGTATTGAACTAGATACAAAAAAGAGAGAAATTAGATTACCAAGTGAAAAAGTTAATAAATATACAGAATTAATTCAGGAAAATTTGCGAAAAAGGAAAATTACTCTTGAAGTATTACAAAAAATAATTGGGTATCTCAATTTTTGTTGTGTAGTCATACCTGAAGTGTAGTCATTTTTGAAAAGATTGTCAGATCCTACAATTGGTAAAACCAAGGCATGGCATAATATCAGGTTAAATAGACAAATTCTAGAAGATCTATCAACATGGGCGGAATTCTTGAAAGATTTTAACGGAAAAGCATTCATGCATGATAAAAGTTGGTCTGATGAAAAAGTAAAAGTTCTTACAAAAGATGCGTCAGGAATGATTGGTTTTGGGGAGATTCTTGAAAAATCATGGTTCAAGGGTACATGGGGCTTAGAACTAAAAGGGAAGAATATCGCATTATGAGAACTACCCAATCTTGGCAAGTTTTATGATATGGAAATCCCAATAAATCAATCAAAAGGTGCTTATAAAGACCGATAACATAGCACTAGTTCATGTACTTAACAAATGTTCAGCTAAAGACAAAGTCATTATGAAATTAATCTGTCCATTGGTTTTGATAACATTGAGAAACAATATCGTGTTCAAAGCGATTCACATTAGGGGGGTTGATAATGTTGCAAGTGACGCACTGTCCCGAAACAAAATGGATATATTTAGAAACGCAATGCCAGGAGCGGATACAATCTCAACAACAATCCCAGAATTGGCCTTATCAGAGGCCTTATTGATAGGAGAAATCAAATGATTAAATCGACCAAAGCACCTAAAACAACAAAAAACCTTCCCTGACGAACTGCTTGTTTGGTGTTGTTTCCCAATTTAGCCAAAAATCCACATCTTCGTACTTTTAGGTCGTCTTAATGGAATTAAATAATTTGTCACAGGCTGTATTAGTTTATATAACAAAGGTCAGGATCATATACAGCGTGATAAGATCGTTGGTGTGAACGCGATACTCAGTAAAATGATAGGTAACCGTTTATAAATTGCATTGTTTTTATTTGAGATGATACACTCTTGCAATTGTAAAAAGTAAGAGGGATGATACTAATCCAAAGTTTAAACAATCAATCATAATTACCACCACTGTACGGCTGATGAATTTGCCACTGCTACTACCCTGCTGAGATTTATTTGGAACCGACTTTGTTTTTTTATTCTAAAATAAAAAGAGATCACGAACACATAGAAATGGAAATAATTTGCATAAATGTATTTAGCCATCAAGGTTTATTTCCAATGTACTTACAAAGCACATTGGGAAATTAATCGTATAGAGTATAATAGGATAATAATGCTTGTAAATTAAACTTAAACGCGTCTGTTCTTACTAAATCTGCGTGATGAAACGTAAGTATACTCCATGATGTTTTTGAGACGACAATACGTCCCACAAAGACATTTTATATTACATAAAAATATCGACAAAAGTTGCACAATAATAAGCAATACCTTTGTCGTCTGATTTGCTCTCTTTTTTGTCTCGTTGTCTAAGAGTGACAGGTACGTTTCTCTCTGGTCTAAGGCTCTCTCCCGTTTTTCTAATCCCAATTTCTGCTCTTTAACGTGGGTTTCTCGAATGCTAAGTGTTTTCTCCCTAGTGAATAAATATCTTATAAATGAATATTCAAACGACTTAAAATTCAACAAAAGTTACTAATCACGATAGAAACTTAGAATACAAGGCGAATGTAAGCAAAACAATATACGACCAAAACCGTAATAAACATTCAATAAATCATAAAAATGAACGACCAACCAGAAAATAAACTAAACAAACCTGTTCATAATGTCCTTTTTTAAGGAATCAATTAATTTCTCTTTAGCATCTACCACAATTTCTCTCCTTTTAACATCCTTCTCTCGAAGTGATATGTTATCCTCTGCCTCTTTGAGAGATATATTGACTTCAGGATCTTCAGATTCGTCCAAGTCTGCTTGTTTTTTTGCTTTTCTCTACTATTACTGTACATGTATGCCTGGACTGTATGTCAATATGTTATTTACATCAGTTTGTTCTACCATGCTCCAATTTGCTCAAAGTGTAATCATCGCTTTGTCAGATGAAACATTAGCAATTAATGTAAAATGTACCCGCTTCTTTATTTTCATTATCAAACAACTAAACCTACTGAATCTCGCACCTTTTGAATATAAATATTTGGAAATGGAAAACAAAGAAAGGTTAATAAAACTAGCTGTAATACAAAGAAATGGTCCAATTGTAGTAGAAACAAATTTATTACATCATGGACTCATCTGTTGTTTATATCCCTGGTTTATATCTCAGATATTATATTAATAACAGAAAAAATAAATTGTAAAATTGGGAGAGAATTCAAGTTTTAATTTTGTTTTAGCATGGCTTAACACCACTTGTATCATGCAAACTTAATGCATGTTTCCTAGTTTATTATCAGAGATTTGTCAGAAGAAATCGGAGCAATACATCCCATATATTACAGGCTCGTAATAAGTTTTAGCCCAGAGGATCAATTTTCAAAACATACCAACGGGTCACAATTGATAGTTTTGGCCTAAAATCACTTAACAGTGCTCAGATTGGTAAAACTATGTAGGATTTTGACAGAGAAACAATTGAGTTAAATTCTCAATGGAGTAAAAATGTGAGGAAACCCTTTGATTAAAATTGACTTTCCGTTGAGTCAATAAATCCAAATTTTAACACAATGTTAATCATAACATAAGGGACATTATACAATGAAAAACTTAATTTGCAAATTATTTTTCGGTTGAAATTAGAACCATCGGCTGTAGAAATTAATCCATTAACTCTAACAAACAGATTATCTATCAGTGTGAACAGAACTCAAATCATAGAAATTGAATAATTAGGGATTAAAGTTTGACTTATTATATTGCTCTGGAATGTCAATACATGTAGGGGGAGGGGGTCCTTAGGTACGGGTCTTTATAAAATGCGTAATGTGTTTATTGAATATTGAGCAGTTCTGTGTCATGACTGTTGTTTCGTTTGGCAAAGTGAATGGTTGTTTGTACCTGTGTGAGAGGGGGATTTAAATGTTGTTTGCTATAAACTTAATGTGACAGAGAAACAATGGAATAAAAATGTGAGGAAAACCAATTAATTAAAAATTCAAAAATTAACTTTACAATGATTTAGTTGATTGAATCAAAAATTTAACACAAAATCATAACATGAGGGACATTATACAATCAAATATATATCAAAAAACTTATTTTGCAAATTATTTTTGTTGAATTAGGAGCAATCAGCTGTAGAGATTAATCTATTAACCCTAACATGTGGATTAATTATTGAATAATAAAAAATTATTATTAACAGTACAGTATGTACCGAAGAATGATGTACATTACTTAAAACCTAAGTGCTAAAATTACAGTTCTTTATTTTATTAACATTAAACTTTATTGATAAACAAGAGATAAAGAATATGGTTCACACTTTCCCTATTTGTTTATTTAATGACTTAATTACCGGAGTAATTGTTAATAAGCCAGTTAAGTGATGTTACCTAATTAGCGTCGCAAATAATGAGACTTGATGACGTCATTTCGTATAGTTACCGTATCTCCTGTTTTGGGAAGTCTGATATGAGAGTATCTCCTGATATAAGCTGATATCTGCTGTTTTTAGCACAGAACAGTCAGCACATCTCTTGTTCTTCATGTCCGATATTGTATGAATAGTAAAGTATAGTCAATGTTTTAAGAGTATAGATAGAAGATGTATAATATAGTTAGCAAATCTCCTGATTACCACGGGTATAATATGGGACCTATTCTGTGGCATACCATCAAATAGTTAAGTAGAACTGGTTCGATACGCAAATTTGTCCGTATCAGAGATATCATATCTAACTATATTTTGAGGGATTCTAGAGATATATACAAACTATTTGTCCAAATCTCTTGAAATAAAACGAGAGATACCGCACATTTTGCACAGTGATATATACAAACTAATAATAGATATATAGGCCTCATATACAAGAAAGTAATACATATCCAGCGATGCATGAAGGAAGTCGAAAAAAAATTTGTCACTGTACATTCCTAGACCTCCCAGACCTTCTTGATGGAAAGTTTAGAATAAAAGAAATTACATGTGAAGTCCCATATATGTAACCATGTGACCAAAAACCAAATGAGGGGATTGATCATTTTCTAAAATCCCAAATTATGTAAACAGGAAAATTCCATGAGGCAATTGAAACAATAAAGTACATTATATTACATATAATGTTTATTAATCAAGCTTTATCTGGGTAAATACATTTCATATTCATAAGAATTAAAAATTATTAAATTAAAAGTATTTTGCATAAGAAATTTAGCATTTAGAAAAACTACATCTGCCAGCAAAATCTACTCAAGGAAGGCATCCCCTTCCTTTAAAGTCTGAGCAACAGCATTTTTTTATGTTGCATTAACTGTTTTGGAACCCATTTCGCGTCTTGACACTTGTAGCCCAAGTCTGTCACTTCGATCTTTTCTATAGTCCTAGGATTCTCACAGGTTGTCTGCCAGCATCCTTATGGAGATTCTTCTATTTCCCATTACTAAAGTGGAATTTCCAAATTTGGAATGTCCAAATATATCTTTTGAATCTATATTTGATAGATCACTTTAATACTATTGTCCTAAAATCAGGTAAATTATCTGTACCTCTTACTGTAGAACATTCTTTGTCAGCCATTTTCTTATGGTTCAAATAGCTGGAACTTTTAACTAATGTGAATATTTGCATATATTTGGTATTATGCATAAATTCCTCTGAGGTTTTCATTTTTACCTGAAATATAACTACTATAGACTACTAGTAAAACTACCAGATGAGGAAAGGTTCAACAAGCGCATGAGCTCTATGCGAGAGCGTTGATGGGATTTTGGCAAAATAATCAGTCAATTTGACTTTGTGGACTGAGAAAAACCTGAAGGTGCTGATATCACCTATAGCATGTATAGGGAGATATAATAAAATAAGAACAATTTTAACAAACGCTCACATTTGCCTCTATGGTAGTGAAATCAACAATTTTTAAAATATGGAAGCACCCCTGTTGGAATATTATTGACATTGTTAGAACTACATAGTGTGAAAATATGTATCATTATGATGAGAAGTCATTTATGTTACTTGTTGTTCATGTTAACATATATTAATAATTTGTTCACAGCTAACCTTCACAAAATGTTACATTGTTTAAGTCATACATTGAGATTAAAACATACTTTGAGATTAAGACATATGAACAGTGTTAAATATGATGTAACAAACATTAACAAGATGTTTATTTTTAACAACAATGAATGTAATACTGTAGATTGGGTTAATTTGGCGCCCGCTTTAATTTGGCGAATTTGGCGAAATTGAAAAATTCGCCAATATAAATCTTCGCCAAAATTTAAAATGAATTATCTAGAGTATTTCCTCCAGTGTATTTAGGTCACTTCCGGTTTAGTTTCTTTCAAAAATATGAAAAATGTCTCTCATAAATTGGCTCAGAACTGGTCAGTCACTCATTAATATTCAGGGAAAAACTAGAAAGGAAAAGCGTGGTATAGTAGCAGCATCGATCGAGGTGCAAAATGTAAAGGATGATCCCCACTGGTCCTCAAAAGAAAAATGGACATAGCCAAACTTATCCATTTACATTGTAATTCGCAAACAGTGCGTAAGTTAATTTTCTTGCATATTCGCCAAATTAAATAGCCGCCAATATGCCAAAAATGGCAAAATCGCCAAATTAAGTAGCGCCAAATTAACCCAATCTACAGTAGATTTCATTACATAGACAAACAAAACAAAATATGCGAAAGTAGTACTGTACTAGTATTTGTTTTTGAAATATTTTCTCGTGATATCTAAATGAGACCCCCACACTCTCTTTCTAAGGTTTGGCAGCCCTAGCCTGACATGTAATTTAGCAATTGGAAACAATTGGAAGTAAAGCAATAATTAGTGCAAATGTTGTTTCATTCAAAAACAGGCTTAAACATGTTGTTAAATTGGGGAGATAAGGTATTCCAATCAAGTGGAGAATCAAAAAGCTGTCTGTAGTGACAGATTTATCTAATGTCCATTGTCCATGATGTCTGAAAATAAACAAAATAAAATTTTGTACACTTAATTAACCTTAATCTATCAGCACCTGTTGCCTCTCAGAATGTCCAGCCTTGACACTTATTTTTAACTTTATTTTTCTCTTTTTGTGACTTGGGATGACTGTTGCGATACTTGCTCTCTTCAAGTGCAAATCTGCGCTCTTCAAGCTCCATTTTTCTTGTGAGATATTCTTCTAGAAAGTTCCCTGAAAAGAAAAGTAAATTGTCTTTCATTCTGGCATTGCATCACTTACTGACATTCATTCTTGTATTCCATAGATATGTAAACAGGTCCAATACAGATCATATACAAATGCAAGTGCATTACTCTTTGTCATGGTAAATGATAATATGGATCGTCTAACAGCTGCAGTCCTAGTTTATGATGTCAAAGATGAAGAAATCTTTCTTTTTCATGAATTAGATCGTAACACAAATAGGACACACAGGAAGTCTATCATAACGCTACATGTTCGTTAATCATTGCCATGGTAAAAAAGTATTGCCCAAAATCAGTTGGAAAGTATAGTCTTGCGAATAGACTTATGCAAGTTTTGATGAATTATTACACAAAAGCTATTTGTAGGTTACATTAATGTCATTTGTTGTAAATGTAACTGAAACATTTGTTTTGGATTTTTTGCAATATACATTTGTTATATTCAGTTTACACTTGTCAGGAACACACTGGAATATGAGTTAGGAAACTGTTTTGATGTAAATTGTCACATTAGTGTTTTTTTTTATATATTGTTGTTGAGATATTGTCCAGGTATTTTATTTGTTTTCTTAAAAGCAAATAATTTTGTCTCTTGCACCTCCATCACTATTGCCTCATTCTTTTTCG